AAAAAAAAAAAAAAGCTGAAAATATTCCCATTCATTTTTTTTAAATTCTGAGATAGTGTCTTAATCTCAGTAATTCTCATTTTTCTTAATTAATAAGATAATTACTTGGTTAAGTCAGAAAAAAATGAGCATTATTTTTCCATGAAATCTCAGAATTATGAAATAAAAAAGGGGCAATTTTTTTCTCAAATGAATGCATTATGCTTCCCTACATTAAAAACTGTAATTAAATGTACTTGACGTTTTTATAGCATGCCTGCATTTTCCCTCTCTATCTTTACATCTGTTTGTAATCTCGGCCAAAACTCTCACAACGTAGATTAAAAAAGGTTTCATGGTTTAGTCCATCTGATTCAAAAATAAAAAGATAAACATCCTAGTGCCACAGGGTTAAAATAATAACATAAAATCATCATGACCTGTCACATATGTCAGTTAAATAAAAATCCGCCTTCTAAAAACAAAAAAGATAAAGCTCTTTGCCTCTTTCCAGTTTTTAGTCATCATCTGTGGATCATTTGGCCGACAGCTGCTGTTGTTGCTAGTTTAATTATCTGCTTCCAGCAGACCAAACTCTTCGGTGGCTTCAGTATCAAGCAGACTACTTCAAAGCAAACAAGCCGACCAAAAATGAAAGAGTTACGGAAACGAACCAGCCCGGTCCACAAACGGCTCGCAGCCAGTCACAGAGCTGCTGACAGGCGAACAAAGGCAGCTGTCGACAGCATGTTGTGCTACATCGGACATCACTCTTGCAACCGTCAACTCTGCTGCGTGAAAAACCTTCAAGTCCATACGTTCACTGATTCAGGCGACACCCTCTCACAAGCAGAGTCCTCATTCATCCAAATATGGACCTTTCACACCTCCCAGTTTCAGTCCCTTTGTCCTCCCGTCTGTCCTGTAATCACCCTCCCTCCCATCAGTGCCGTCATCCTTGAGGTTGTCTTCAGGTTAATGTGGTCCCATGTTTGAGGGGTTAAAGTGGCGGGAGTTCAGTTCCAGCTGTCAGAGGCAGATCCTCTTCTGGTGATGGCTCTCAGGGGGCTGCGAGACACAGAGCCCCTCTTCTTCCAGCGAACTGAAAAGGAAGAGACACACAGAGTCAGTGATGAGTCAGTGGTGAGTGGCTCGGCAGCTGCGGATGAAACACCGGTGTTAAAATGTTAATCATGAACATCCAAGCAGCCCCACGAGTTTGTCAACCTTGACTCTGAAAGTGTCCTGGTGAGGGTATTCATTTACTGTTCTCCACTTCAGCACTTGGTTTTCATTACTTTCACTAAATGTGCTCGCTGCAGTGGAAATCTTATCTGTCTGCACAGCTTGGAGAGCAAGAGGAGAGAGTGATAACGACACTTAATCAAGGAAATGGCTCTTTATTCAACCATTAAAGGCCTTTGTGGTTTAGAACTATTTAGCCCTACAAAGCCAAAACACCGTAACTAAATAATTTATCAAAACTGAGTCAAAAAATAGTCTAAAATTTTGACATCTATTAAAAAATATAACTTATTTGGTATAAAAAGTATTAGTTTGGTAGGGGAAAAATAGTAAAACTCGCAAGAAGAGGAAAACCAAGGCTAGCTGGGATGCTAGCCTTAGCTAAATCTACTTTAGGGTTTCCTCTAAATGAAAAGTGCCCCAACATCTTAATAATTGATGTGATAATGTCATGAAACTAATTGTAAATGAGGCTTAATCTAGTTTAAAAACTTAAACCATAAGTAACATTAGATTAACTAGCCAAAAAGGTAACTAGCCTAGCTTAGAGTAGCAATAACAGCCATTCCCGCAGCCTCTAACTCCAGAGGGAAACCTACATTTACCTTTTTATTTCTCAGCAAGGACCCTGTTTCACCATGTTTTTTCTGTCTAAGTGACTAATCATATAAAATAATTTGGCTGGGGAAAAAAAAAATAAGTAAAACTCGCAAAAAGAGGAAACCTGAGAAGCTAGCCACAGCTAAAGCTAATGTAGGACTCATGTAAGTAAGTGTAAATAAGGTTAAATGTAGTTTAAAAACGTAACACCAGAAGTAACATTAGATTAATAAGCTAAAAGCTAACTAGCCTAGCTTAGCAGAGCAGTGAATAATTTTTCAAATGGGTCTAGTATTGAGTGAGAGCGCAATGTGCTATTTTGTCATAAAAACATCAATAATGTGGAAGGGGGGATAAGTAAAACTCACAGGAAGAGGAAAACCAGGGCTAACTGGAAGCTAGCTAGGTAGTTAGCCTTAGCTCAAGCTAATTTAGGGTTTTCTCTAAATGAAAAATGCCCAAACATTATAGTAGTTAAGTTCACTACATCATGTGAATAAGAATAAATCTAATCTAAAAACGTAACACCAGAAGTAACAAGCTAAACATTAACTAGCCTAGCTTAGCAGAGTAGCCGTAACTGCCATCCCTACAGCTTCCAACTCTGAAGGAAAACATACTCATAGCCTTTTTATTTTTCAACCTGGACCCTATTTCACCATGTTTTTAAGTCTGGTAACTCATGGAGACAAATGTTTTTGAAATGACTCCAGTATTGGAGTAATGGACAACTGTGCACCGTGAATTTACGTCCACTAAAAGAACTTATTTTTGCCACTGACAGGCTCATGGTGTTATTTTAAGTGTTAACTTTAAACAATAATCTGAGCCCGTCAGTGACAAAAACAAACACTTCTGAAGCAGTACTGTCATCTCACCTTTTCCCAGACTGGCAGGCAGCGTGGAGCTCTTGTTGTTAGCGGGAGAGTTGGACGACTCCTCCGCGCGTTTCCCCTTTCCCTCTCCTGGCTGCAGCGTGGCCGAGCCATTCTGCTGCCAGTCGCTCAGCGCCCGCTGGAAAGAATGTGCCAGACAAGCTGTCATGTCTCGTGCCCGCTCCGCCCGGCTGCACCAGAACACCCGACACTGCAGCTGCTGCCCTTGATGTTTGCAGATGTACAAGAAGACGTTGGGCCGGTTTGCGTCCGCCGCACAGTACGCAATGTCCTGAAGGTACGTCTTGGTGAGCTGCCGACCTGTGCTCAGCTCCTTGACCTCTACGTATCTCGGGCGCACCACCAGGGCGTGATCTTTGCTCAGCTTCTTCCCGTTAGCGATACCTTCCAGCAAGTGGCTGATAGCGTCCTGAGCCTGCTCTCGATCCAGAGAGAAGATTTTCTCCGTGCCCAGGTAGTGGACCTTGAAGAGAGGATCACCGTGGGATAAAGACTCTGTGCGGTCGCGGCGAAAGCGGCGACGTAGCGCAGCTGGAGAGTTCTTAAGAGTCTGCATGAGGTGAAACGTGCTGAGAGACATGGTGCGCTTCAGGCTGGGTTTGGAGGAAATTTTAGCTGAGGTGTATCTGCCGGTGGCCAGCTGGTCGTCTTTAGAGCCTCTCCCACTTTTCCACCTTTCTTCCACAGACGGAGCGTAGTTGCATCCACTGCTTTTATCTGAAAAGAGGCAGACAGTGACGTTAGCAGATGAATAATTGAGCGTGACAGATGCTTGAGCTTTGTTCAGAGTTAAATACGGTGAAGGAGAAAGTACATCCTGGAAATAGGTTGTTTTGACATTTAGTTCGGTTAAAAGCAACTCTCTGTTCGTTATCGTTTTTGTGCAATCTCATTCTTTCAACTCCTTGATAAGGGAAAAAAAACATGCACTCAGCACAAGTTGTACCGCAGCATGGAAAAACAGAAGGCCACCAAACAGGATCAGTTACAAAGGTGACGCATGGGAGGAATATTCATTCACCACAGACACCAGCCATTAAATATTTACAGTGAGGTTTGGGCTTTGTCCTCGCTGCAGTGAACCCTCACACTGATGAAGTGGAAACATGCCACAATAATCTGAAGGTTAACGTAACACACAAAAGGTGGCACGCAGGTAATCACAGGTACATGCACCCCATGCCAAGAACTACAAACTCTTATATCACAGTGCTGTTTCTAACAGGAGGGCTTGAAGGATTCTGTGACCTTGCCAACCCCAGTCTTATGCAACGTCCACATCTGGCCTCCCATTGTCTCCCATCCTACAAACCCATAGACCTGCCTGTTCTCCCATTGTGTTCTCCGAACTTTATTTTTTCCCCTTTCTCTTTTCTTGGCTATTCTTTCAACATCCGAGCTCCTCAGAAGTGAGCTGCACTGAGAACCGCCGACTGTTCCAAGGTGGCGGTCATTGTTAGCCGGGACCCCGCGCAGGAAACAGCTTTGCATTCCCCACCTAAATATTTCTCCTGCAAACAATGGCGTGCTTTTGTGAGTGTGTCACCTCACAAAAGAGATGAGAGTTGACCTAGAGCCTGGGCCGACCCCGGGCATGCACACACACAGTTACACGTGTGGGTTGCAAACATGTGCACAACTTTCACTTGGAAACACACACGCAGGTGGCTACCTGTTTTGCATTAAACCACAGGTACTGTGCAGCACTGTTGTTCCCTGCCACAGGGCACGAGTCACAAACTCAGCCATGTCCCGAACAAACAATCCAAATTTGCATGCAGGTAAGCTGTCGTGCGTAACTTCACGTGATCTGAGTAAACAACTCTCTAAGTTTTTTGAACATGTGCAAAGAGCTGTGGCTACCGATCAGCATTAGGAAGTGGATACAACACATCAGCTTTTATTTAACTTTAATATTTATTCTATGGAACCAAAATTTGAGCTTTAAACACTTAATTTCCTGCATTCTGGTGATTTTAATGTACCAGTATGTGCATAGTTCTGCACGAATTAATGGTGAAAATGTATTTAATTTTGACAAAATAAAGTTCTCTGCTATTTTATGTTTTTATTGGGGAGGTGCAAATGTTCTTAAAATTGAGGAAAAAAAAAAAAAAAGAAACCACCAAGATCTACACCTATGTGTATGGAGCCTTTTGCCCTAAACTTTATTTCAAATATGAAGAAAAATACAAATAAAGCACACAAGAATGTGAATTAATAGTTTAAATTAGGGTTTCTACATTTCAGGATTTACCATACAAAGTACAGCTAAATTAAGACAAGGCATGACAGGGGTTTGCTTCACTTTTTCTAAAAGGAGCAACAGAAAACTGTTGTTAAAAACTTTTTCTTCATGTTATGTTCTCATTTCTTGTATGCCGAATTAAACATCAGAGCCTATTGAATACTGTAACATCAAAACATTTCATATGTGCGACATTTAATTTAAGAAATGAGCGAGACAACTTAAAATTGAGATTCAGCGAGCCCCGTAGCGTCTCCCAAGCCCCCTCATTTCTCAGTAACGTACGACAAGTATAAGCGTGACAGTGATTAAAGTTGCATGTGCTTTCACAAACTGTCATTATATTTTGAATATGTTAATAAAATCATACTTTATACTTTTAAAAAATGTGTCTTACCTGGCCACAGTTTCATGCAAACGATGTCCTCGTGCGTCTCAGGTGAACTGCAGAGTTTGGTGGTGTTTTCAAACACACCGGGTCAGGTGAAGTCTGCTATCCCGCACGTTCACACTAAACTCGACCAACTGTCATTAAATCAAACTCAATAAACTAATCGATAACTCTGTATCGGCTCTCCTCGTAGAGTTCCTCGTGCTCAGAAAAGCGGCAGTGAGACACATGCAGACGGAGACAGTTCATGTAGACACTGAATCATGCTCTGTGCTCTCCCTGCTCGACGCGTTTGACTTGAGTGAATCACTGAGCGCGTGGAGCAACCGTTTTTAAAACAGCGTAGGCGCGAGCTCGTCACAGACGTGGACGAGCACTTGCGTCTGAGCAGTGAGGAGGAGGAGGAGGAGGAGGAGGCTGACTGGTGTGTGATCAGCAGCAGCAGCAGCAGAGGGAGGTCTGAGGGGAGAGGAGGTGATGGTTTACAGTAGAGGAGAGATTTACAGGACATGGCAGCATGATAACACCTGACACACTGATGTTCTCTTACTGGCACTGCTGCTCTGAGGAAGACCTGTGTACATATTTACACTGCCCCTATAGTGTTTCCAGTGAAGGCTCTGTCACCACGTTTAACATGATAAATCATATTATTTATTATATACTGTAAATACTCTACCAGCTCCTCATGGAAGCAAATATGTGTAAACTATTGAACCCCTTTTGTGGTTCCTTAAAATGGAAATGTTCTATGTATTCGGCAGCATTAAATAGGCACATTTCTCCCCAAAAATCAGCCTGATATATTTGAGTTTTTTGGATCTTATTTTGAATTTAAACAAAGTCATATGGATTTTAACAATGTTTTACTCAGTGGCGTCCCCAAAGAGGAGCCAGGGGTTGTTTGGGTGGAACAGCATGTTCTCATCCTGAACTCGTCAAATACCGCCGCTTGGTCAGTGATTTCGGCATCAGACGCCGACACCAAAGCCACCTTTCAGGGATGCCCGGTAGCTCAGTGCTCAGAGTGGTCATCCCATGATCAGAGGCATTGTCCTTGTCGCATCGGCTGTGGGTTCATATCCAGCCCTTTGCTGCATGTCATTCCCTTTTGTGGTCAAGTCCGTCCTATCTAATAAAGCCAAAAAAGCCAAAAAAAAAAAAAAAAAAGAAGAAGAAAAAAGCCAACTTTCGCAGCAGTACGATATGCTGCTGGGCGGTGCCAGTATGTGATGATGAAATGTGGCTGGATGGAACCTTTCACGGTGGTATGACAAGCCGCCAGTTGGCCGGATAGCACCTGTCGTGGCAGAATGATACGCAAATGGGCAAAGTCAGTTAATCAGGCGGCCAGGTGGCACCTGTCACAGTGGTATAATATGCCGCTGGACAATTTTAAACGCTACCATTAACGACGTAGTATAAGGAGCTGGAGAGCCCTTAAAGCATGGGTGGGAGAGGAGGTGGATGGGTCAAACACACCCAGACCTTTCACCCGGGAGGCTCTTGTTCACTTCCTGTTTGAGTGCTAAACCAAATCATGACCTTGCTTCTAAACCTAACCACGCGTTTTTGTTGCCCGAGCCCGGTCTCACTTAGAAGTCGTTGGCATCTGATGCATGGGCAGTGACTTGCAGTGTCAGACACTGACGAAAAAGCTGTTCTTCAACATCGGCATGATACGCAGCCAGTTGCTGTTATAGTTTAATGCCGCTCGGCTGCGTTGAGGAAATGCGGCGGGACAAGAACACAAGTTAAGGCGGCGAAAGTCCTAGTAGGGCAGGTAGGATTGGTGTTGGATAGGTCCAATAAACACAGACTTTTACTCGAGGAGTGGTGTTTGCGTCCTGTAAGATTCTAAATCCAAACCTTGTCCTTTTTTCCTAAACCCAACCATGTGTGTTAGCTGATGAAGGAAGAAAACGTCAATTCGTGTTGTTGTACTGACGTAGTGCATTTATTTTGAAAGAGACTGTATGCAAACGTTACATTTCCTGTGAAAACATAAGTGTATTTCGAAAGAAAACAATGCATGTAACTGGCAGAACTTCACACGGCGTCCCTGATTGTCAACAACCAACACACCCAGGGTACCTTGCACGTCGTATGTGGACGTGGAAAGTCTATAACCAAACGCTGATATGTGACGAGGTCAGAATGAGAATGTGTTGATTGTTTTACCGAGGTTTGAAGTTTATTTTAAAAAATGCTGTACGCATCTAACGAGCAGAAACTGTACATTTCCTGTAAAGATTTAAGTGTATTTATAAAAAATACAACGCATTTAATAGGGTTAAATTGACACGCCGGCTTAATATCACCTCAAGTTTAGGCTAAATTCTGGCAAGGCAACCAGTGGCAGTACCATTTTAAAACATGTCCCTTGAAGTCTCACCTCAGGATATCTGAATTAAAGTGGGGTTTGTGGGTACCCACAAGTCTCCCCTAAACTTGAGACGGCTTGTTCCTTACAATCAATGTACTTCTTCGAATTGAAAGAAAAACCAGCCATGTGGAGAAAACTGAATTGCCTAACGTACAGATACAAAAGGTAACACATCATAACGGGATTGTTGTGGAATTCAAAATGTCAACTGTGTGGGTATTAGTCTATGCACATTAGATGAAACCAAAGTATATCAGTACGCGATTGCTTAATTCTCCATGTTGCAACTAGCCTACAGTATATACTAACACAGCATTATCGAGTTCCTGAAATTCAGTTATGTCTTGTGGTTTTGGTGCCACCCTAAGATTTTCGGTGGCCCCATCTGGCTACCTTGAGTCTTAAAAAACAGCATAAAATAGCACAACATATAATTTAGCCTTGACCTTATCATCTTTTATTTACCAAAAGCAACTTCACAGTCTGATTATTACTTCTGAGAGGTTATGATGTCATTTAGACCGTCAAAATAAACACTGCCAACATACATACATGGTGACTCTGTAAGACAACCCCCCTTGTAGCCTATTATAAATTCATCAGGACTGATGGGCAAAAATGGGCCTCAAAGTTGCCCAGTTCCCCCAGTTGACTTTTAAAATGACTTATTTTGTCCAAAAACATTTCAAAACCCCAAGATGACAGAAGTTACAGAGAAACTGTTATATTTGAGAGGCCCACTTGTTCCCATTATTGTTATTTAAATGACCCAAATGAACAGATTATCAAAATTGTTATTTAATTCTCTCAATTTATAATTTCAGCATGACCCAAAGAGCTGTGTCTGAAAGAACTGTGATAAAACCTCATATTTTTGCATTCACATGACTAATAAAATTGTTTTATACGTGTTTATGTCAATGTATTGTAGCTGTTGTCATGTCACAAGCCCATGACCCTGTGCTCTACGAACGTTGAAAGTTTCACGTTGCTTTCTAAAAATATATGTACAAAACAAGGCTGAGGCAACATCTGAAACCCACTACCATTCATTACCTACACATTGCGTCACAGCCCGGCTCTAATGGGGATCACTGGCCTCACTGGTTCAGATCTGCCTTGAGTGTTTATTCTGGGGGCATTTTGAACAGTGGCAGAGGGAAAACCTTAAACGGTTCCATGTGAGTATAAGTCTATGCATCTGTATGTGTGTGTGTGTGTGTGTGTGTGTGTGTGGCTGGGTGTGCCTGACGTGTGGAAACAGTAGGGCCCCTGTTTCTCCTGGGTTTGGCCCAACAACAGTTAAGTTCTGAACGTCACACTCGCCTCAGTAACTCACAGGACACACTGGAACTATTCTTGGGGCACCGGTGACATAATGGACCATCTCAGACAGGCACACGCCCTCCCTACGTATCTCACAACGGGCAGCAAGAACACAGTCAGCATCCAAAGCGTTGCATAGGCAGGAGTGCAGCTGCAGGTCCAGAGAAGTGCAGACTTCACAGGTTTAATCCCCTTTAAACAAACTTACTTTTTATTCAACACAATCAGCAGTGTACCTTTTATTTTTAGCTCTGTTTATTTGTTCAGCAGTAGTGTTTTATGATAAAGATACTCTGTGTGTGGTCAACAACTATTGGATGTATTGTGGATAGATGGATTGAAATTTGGTAGAGATATTCATGGAAGCCAAAGGATGAACCCTACTGACTTCGGTGATTCCCTTATTTTTCTTGTAGCGCCACCATGAGGTTGACATATAAGGTTCAGAGCAAAGACTGTATAAGACAATGAACGTAGCCAACTTTTGAATTTTGGAGCCAGAAGTGACATGTTCGGACAAGAGGTTGGAGCTAACCATAACGTTAGCTGCTAGCTTGGTTAGCACGGTGCATTCACAGCTATAGTTAAATGTGATAATGCTAGTTTTTGCAAGGGAAAATCCAACCCGGTCTCACTTCAAAGTCGTCAAAATCCAGCACCCAGGCAGTGACTTGCGGCTTCAGACACTGCGCGGCTGGTCGCTGTTATAGTTTAACGGCACTCAGCAGTGTCAGGGGGAAATGCAGCGGGACAAGAGCGAAAGTTAAGGTGGTGAAAGTACGAATAGCGCGGGCAGGAGGGTGGAGGATGGGTCCATCAAACACCAACGTTCACCCGGGAGAGCAGTGTTCATGTCACGTAAGATTATAACGCCAAACGCTGTTCTTTTTTCCTGAACCTAACCACGTGTTTTTGTTTTTGTAGGAGAAAAAAGGTCAATTTGCGTTGTTGTACTGACATAGTGCGTTTATTTTGAAAGAGGCTGTATGTAAAGGGTAAATTTCCTGAAAGAAGACAATGCAGACTTCAGAAAGTCAACAACCAACGCACCAGGGTACTTTGCACGTCGTATCTGGACGTGAAAGGTCCATGACCAAACGTCGATATTTCATGTCGATAGGTCGGAGTGAGAATGTGTTGGAAAATCAGGCTTATGTTGTGTTCAAACTACGAGCAACAGCACAACAGCGTGACCAGCTACGTTATCGCCAAGTTGCCAATAAAGTGTTGCTCAAGTGCTACTTAATGTAATTATGCCGTCACAGGTTTGTGTGGTCTGCTACATACCACAAAGCACCTCAGCTGAACGTCATCTAAAGATTGTATCTGGTCAAAAAAATATCTACGCTTTTGATCAATGCCTGAGCCCCATTTTAACGTAGCATTTCGCCGCCTCATTGCATCCCTGTTTGGGCTAGCACATAAGGCTAGCATAGTGCAAGCTAATTAAGCTAAATACAACTAGACACAAAAAGACAGGATTGTTGGTGCCAACTCAACTTTGATTTCACGCCTGTCCACAGCAACAAGTGTCAGGCATTCGTATGTAGCTTTATGTCGACGGCTTCCACTGGGAATG